GCTAGCAAGTTTGACATTTGCTAGCTGTGGCTAAGTTAACTAAATCTGGATACAAACGTTTTGAATATTCTGATCTTCGTCATGGTAACATTTTCTCTGCCAACTAATGCTAAAATTAGTTCTTCATTAGCAACAACGCGCTCAAGGTTAAGAACCTTACCTTGCTAGCCAGTTTGACTTTAGTTTTAGGACCATTGCAAAGCTAGTCAAAGCAGAATAAAAACTTTTCAAACATTCTGATATGGCATCATGTAAACATTTTCTCTAACAGTCACACCGTAGATGTGACCTTAGTTAGCAACAGCTGCCTCAGGGTGAAGAACCTCCTATTGCTCTTTAGCGCTGTGGCTAAGCTAGCTAAATCTGGATACAAACTTTAAATTCTGATAGGGTCATGTTAACATTTTCTCTGACAACTGCTGCTAAGTTGTGTCCTTCAGTAGCAACCACAGGCTCATAAGAAGCTTGATGTTAGCGTTAGCTGCTTCGCTAAGCTAGTTAAAGCTGGATAATGCTTTTTACTTATCATGAGATCTAATTGTCCAAACTTCACTGGCATTTAAAGGGATATTTTTACAAGTAGTACCTCCAAACTTAATTATATCTGTATCTTTCTTGCAATTTCTAAACATTTAATTGTATTTGAGTTCTTGCTTTTAATCTCATGGGCTATAAGTACATTTAATACTTTTTTCTTCTTTATTTATCTTATGAAACACTTCATAGCTACTGCTTAAAAATAATTCTCATATTTTATGTCTCTTACGTTTAGTGTTACTTTATTCAGTTTGACTTGAACAGCTAAATATAAACATGAAGCTAATTGCCAGGGTTTTTTTTTTTACCAGAGGAACCACAGCCATTGTTTTTTTCAGACACAAGGCTTGCTCTGTATCTCTGACTGTATGTGAAAACCTGTCTTGTGGGGTCACAGCAGCAAAGCGTCTTCTCTTTTCTTTTTTTTCTTCTCGCGTTCTGTGTAGGATGCTTATCGTTTCAATCTCCTCTTGTTTCCTTTTTTGGCCTTTCCTGTTAACACTGGCAGAGCCGTCTGATGTCACAGACGACACTCATTAGAGTCAGAGATAAAAGATGATAAGAAAGGATGCATGTGGTGTTTAACAGAAACAGCTCAGGACTGATAAAGCTGGGTGATTTAAAGGTAAACTGTAACTATGATCAAAACACGAAAGCCTAAACAAGAAGAGGAAAAAGAGAGAGAGTGAAAGGCGCGTTAAAAAGCAGAAATGTTTGCGGTTCAGAGTCTTTATAAGACACCTTGAACAGAGAGTCTGTTCATACCAGAATTTCTGTTTCACATCAGATGTGCGTCGCCTCAGGTGAACCTGTGCAGCCACGTGATGAACGTCTGCAACTACCAGTGCAGATATTCACTTAAGATCAGAGACGCAGCTCTGGAAAAAAAACAGCTGTCTATATTTAATCAAGGCGAATAAACAAGGAGTTTAAACAACTCATTTATAATTTAGATTAGCATACATTAAAAACACTCATTTTAATCTTTTTATTAATATGCATCAACGATATTGTATAAATATGCAGTTTTATGCAAATACCGTGCCCGTTTTCTGTTTGTATTTAATTCTGTTTCCCAGCTGTGGATCATCATTCTCATTCAAGGCAACAGACTCAGATTAAGTCGAATATTAAGTCACAGCATGGGAGTGTATAAATATTTCTCAATTAAAAACTCTGAAGACCAGCTACTGTATCAGCATTAAAAATGCATCGGCGATGGGAGGAAAACAGGGGAAGGCAAGTTACGAGTTTGATAAGACATCAGAACTTCAAGTCTACATCTTTGAACTGTGTTTTCTTTTCCATCTTTCCCTCCTCCAATCAAGCAGTTGCAACGGCTAGCACTTTTTAGCTGTTTTGGAGGCTGTTACAAAATCTGTGGGATGTAAGGACCAGCCAAAACACGCTGTGCCTCTGTTATTCATGCCTTCTGATGTTTTTTCACAGAATGTCCTACATTTTGCTGCTTCTTGCGTGAGCTGCCACTTCTCTGTTGATGCAAATGAGGAGTTTTGTTCCAAAATGTGAGTGGTGTACAGGCGACTGCTGGAAAATGACTGAAAAAGGGGCTGAACTGTAAAACACAGTCGCTGTGACCTGATGGAAATACACTGAAACATTCAGTATCATTCTGAACAACAGATAAAGTTTTATTTTTTACAACAAAGCTGAAAAAATGGGAGTGGTGTCACCACATCTGCATTGAATGAAAGGTTCATTTTCTCGATTTTAAAACTTCATTTTATGCTACAAAACCACAAAATCTTGGTTTAATTTCTAGTACAAATATCTTAGTACACTTGAAATGAGACAAAACTATCTGACAAGTAACTTTTCAATGAGAACTAGGAGCTTGTTTTAAGCAAATAACTCCTTAATATTGATGGAAAAGTACCAGCTGTAAGTAAAATAACATTTTAACTGTCAGATTATTTACTTTTTCATCTATATCGACTTAAAACAAGCCCCTATATCTTGCTGAAACGTTACTTGTAAGTTAGTTTTGTCTTACTAAAATATTTCCTCTAGAATTACTTGGTAAGATTTTGTTTTTGCATCATAATATGAAAGTTTTTATTAAGTTAAAACTGTCGTCTCATAATTGCGACAAACAGCATAACGTAGATTAATGGTAAAACCATTAAAGCAGGACAAAAGTATCCAGTCCACTTCAACTGACCACAAACCAATGCATAGTTTTAAAGCAGAAGGAAAAGGACATCGGAATTTCTCCTTTTTCAAATAAAATAGGTTTGGTGTGCAGATTTGCTATTTGTTTTGCTGTGAACTTTAATAAACAATAAAAACTAGAAACAATATACTTTCATGTATTCAGAACACCAAGAAGCATTTAACCAAATGCAGCTGAACTTGGGCAGCTCTACAGCCTTCAACTCTGCTAAGTTTGACTTCAGTTTTTTCGTTTTAGATTTTTGTTGCATCTCTGACCCAAGACTCAGAAAATTTAAAGGGGCAGTTGCCTGTATTTTCCCGGAACATAAAATACACATTATATAATAACTGTGTTATCTTCAGTTGTCATAAAAAATAAAAATGCTAAATATATCAACTATGACCTAACAGAAATTGTACTTCCTGATTCAACGCCTCTGTCTCTTTAAACCGTCCTGCTCTTTCTGAAGCTCCGCCTTCAGGAAGTCATCACAACATGGCTCCTCTATTAACCCTTTAACAACATTTTTGAGAAGTAGCTCCTGCAATGAGCTCAGCAGTTTCACCAGGTGTTTGCTAAATGCTGCTGGCTAGTCTGAAGGAGCTCAGCTACACCTTGGAGGCGGGGCTAGGTCCATCCAGGTGTTTTGAACAGCTGAATGGTTGCCATGGAGATTAAAGGATTTCTCAAACATGAAGGAATCAAAGTAATACTCCAGGTATGTTTTTGATGAGGGAGTATGATTTTTTTTATATATGTGTGTATACATACACCCACATGGTACTGCCCCTTTAAATTGAAAGTTTAAAAACAAATCTACATGGAGTTTAAATGTTTTCAGTCGATTCTGAGATTCAGTTGAGGTTTGCTGGACTAGAGTATAAAAAACATCCCAAGTTTTGATCATCTGCTCAATTAAACTACACACCTGGCTATTTTAATTTACACAGAAATAAAACATTGATATTGACTTATAAAATGTTTGTTATTCTTAATTAAATATTATTTGTCATTTCCGTCAATTTCATAGCTAAGAACTACTTTGTGTTGATCTTTAGCATAAAATTACAATAAAACATTGTGGTTTGTGGTCATAAAGTGATAAAAAGTGAAACATTTTATGGAGCACCATATATTTAGTGAAGCTTATTTTCTGTCTTTAGAACATTTAAATGACTCATTACATAATTTAATGTTTTTGTTTAGGTTTTCTACATAAATAAAGTTTACTTGCACACTTTGCTAACAGTCATGTGAAAAGTTCATGGAAACTTTGTGTTGAGGGATTTAAACATATCTACTTATTTATTTGGGATCATAGTGTTTATGTTATATTTAATATGTATGTTATTTAGGAAGGTGATATAATAAAAAGTGGATATAAATAATTTGTTTTTACACAATTTGTTTCTATTTTTCATACGTATTGTCTGCTTTCCTTTCAAACAAAAGAAATCAATAATGTGGATTTTAACGCTAAAACATCCAACGTTATGTTTTATTTATGAGTAAAAACCTACATTTTCTTTTTTAAGTGCAAAGAAATCTTTCTTTTACATCATCAATCTTATTTAAATTAATATTAAATTAGATATTTTAGAATTTTATATCAAAAATTTAACAGATGAAATTTGTTAAATTTGAATATTACTTACTCATAGTCAAGTTAAAGAAAAATCTTTTATTTAAAACTAGTCATACTTTACCAGTTGTAGTTTAAAAAATATATAAAATCATACATAAATATAATTTATAAATTTAAATATATATAATTATATTTTTATATATATTTACATATGTTAATATGTATTATTCATTTAAATATGCTTATATTATATTTTATTATAATTATTTATAACATTGAAGTTATTTAAATAACTTCAATGTTATATAAATGTTATAATATAATGTCAATATTATATTTAAATGATGTATGTATAGTGTGTGTGTGTGTGTGTGTATTATTTGTATATATATTGATATTTTCATATTTGAATCTCTAGTTTAGCTATCATGGTGTTTTTTCTACATTGTAATATTTTTTATTTTTCATTTCTCACTTGTTGGTCTAATAAAGGATTTTCTTATCTTACATCCATCTACTCATCTATTTCCTTATTTTGGAGAAATTCTACTGAATATGACATATTTATTACAATGCATTGCTTTTTCTGAGTGGGCCGTGAATATCGCGCATCCGGCCCTGTGCGTCATGAATAATGTGCGCTGAGCGGCGCAGAGGGAGGCGCTGTCTCTTTAAGAGGCTCAGCCCTCTGCAGAAACAATCGTACAACCCCCCAACAAGTCATCGGACCTGTCAATCAAGCGGTCGGCGCCTTTGAAGCCGGGACTCCTCGCCTTGTCTTGGGCTCAAATGAGCTGTTTGCTGTTGTAGCGAAACATTGGTCTTCCACCAAGCAGCCAGCCGGGGAACGACGCCACATCTCAACTTTTTCTCTGCATGTGGTGGGGCGAACATTTCCCTACTTTCTCCTGGAGGCGCTCCACACTTGAGGATACTATTTAAGTGAGAAAGTCACTTCTTTATTCATACTTTTTAAATTTTTTAAACATACTTTACAAGAGGAGGTGGGGGCAAAAAGTCCAAGGTGAGGGAAGTAGTCATGCCTCAGCTCAGTAGCGGCGGAGGAGACGACCTGGGAGCGAATGATGAGATGATAGCGTTCAAAGACGAAGGAGAGCAGGAGGAGAAAATCCAGGAGAACGCCTTCACGGAGCGAGACCTGGCCGACCTCAAGTCCTCTCTGGTGAACGAGTCGGAAATAAATCAAAGTCCGACCTCGGCGGTAGGTGGCTCAGTGTGTGTGTGTGTGTGTGTGTGTGTGTGTGTGTGTGTGCGCGCGCGCGTGTGTGTAAACTTGTTTTATTTTACGCGCTGAATGAGACCAGAATTTCTGCCTCCGGGGGTAAAAAGCGGTGGGATTCCCATGCTGCCCGGAGTGAAAACACGCCGTAAAAGTGAGATAAAGTGGATAAAAAAGTGGCGTTTTTTCCGCCTCACCTGAGTCCGAGTGTTGTTGTTGTTCCAGGCGGTCAGACGGGGACAGCAGGGCGAGCAGAGGGTCTTCCAGGACAAACACCGAGAGCATCTCGACGGAGGTAAGAAGGAAACTTCAAAATACTCATTAGTGCGCCGCTCTGTCTAAGAATGACTAAAAAAATAAAAATCTTCAGTGTTTTTGGTCACGGGATGCGCGCTGTAGCTTTAAAACCAACTTCAAAGCAGACTCTGTAAAGATGTCCAGTTATCGGGCTTTCCTCTGATCCATCACCTGTTAGCAGGACTGCGCTGTTGTTTTCATTCAAAGCTCAAAAAAATACGCCTCCCATGTCAAGACGAGCAGTTTTTAACCACAAAATTAACCGATTAATCCATAAAAAGTCAGAACCTCTTCGGTTACCGGGCAATTAAGGAAAAGTTATATCAGTGTGTCCTGGGTGTCTTTGCGTAACTATGACGATGAAGAGAAAATATGAAAAAATTCACCCAGTTTTATCTCATGAAGAACAGTTTTGAGCTCCAATAGCGCCAAGCATCGGGCAGAGAAACGGATGATTTTTACTCCAACTACAATAGAAACAGATTTTTGTTTCCCTCAACGTATTAAATGCATCAAATCAAAGAGTTTCTAGAAGAAATACCAAACCTAAACCAGATTGAGCTAATATTCAGATCAAATCCTGTAAATATGAGATTTAAAAATAATTAACTCTTGTTGTTTTTGTACCTAAAAATCTCCATTTTATTTGATGAAATGTCAGAAACATAAGTGGGAATAATCTGGTCACTTCTTAAATACAATGGGATTCAAAACTCTTTTCTCATTCATCTGTTTTCCATCGTTGAAAATAATTGGTGTTAGTTAAAATTTGAATCAGAAAAATTGGAGCAGGCCAGATTGGTGCACTTCTGGGTTTTTATCTTTCTAAGCTTTCTTTGCTCCGTCCTTACATTATAAGTTTTTTCCAAGGTTTTATTTTTATTTCTTAGCTGCTTGAAAAGTGTAGCTTTGGTCACATTAACCCTTTCATCGCCAGCAGACGTGTTTTCCACAAACAGCTCAGGATGAAACGGTTAAAGACGAACTCAATGTTTCCACACTGGAAGGATTTTTAAGAGAGACTGTGAGGAAAGGTTGGACATTTTATCAGCGCGGTTCAGGCTACGCTGCACTCAAATAGTTTTGGAAGATTAACTCTGATTTGAAAAGGAAACGTCTGTTTTAATAAATAATTCACATTTAAAGTGCAGTTCAGCTCTACTTGTGTTTCTGTGCAGAGATCTTTGTTGTGTTTTGCCTGGTTTGACTTTAACTGACTTCCTACATGAGTAAATTTAATGTTTTGTGTTTTAAAATGTCTTCAGCTCTGTCGCTCAGATCTGTCACTTCTTCGGCAGAGTGGCTCTGTTTCATCTTAAGAGAGCTGTTATTAATGAAATCACCTAATGCTAATCATAGTGTGCGTCTTCCTTTCTAGTATTTGTGAAATTATCCCTGTCACAGTGAGATCTGCTCATGTTTTGGCATTTAGGGGCAATTTTGAAGGAAAATTGCAGCTTTTTCTCAACTTTGGGAAAAGAGTGATTAAGTTTTTTTTGCTTTTGCCACCCAAAAAGAACAGAGTAACTTCCCTCCCTGTGTGCAGCACATTTTGAAAGTGTGTAGTTTTACTTGGCAGCTTTAATTATAGGTTTCCCTCAGCCGTTTCTCTCATTTCAGTCCTTACCAAAGGAAGAAATGTTATCACGTCGGGGTCGTCTCAGGAAAAGTCTTCATCAAAACCGGATTCTGTGGTTTCAAATGGATCCTTGAGACAAATTGAAACCAGTAGAAATCTGTATTAGCAGAACTGCAATCTGGCCAGAAATGCTTAGCAGTGACAATTGTGGCTAATTGCTTTGTGTTGCAGTTTCGGTCTGAGCAGGTAAATAACCCAGTTCTGTGTGACCCAGAGAGAGAGAGAGGCCCCTCGCTTAATAAGGCGGCTGCAGCTGGAAGTGAACGTAGTTCACGCCTCTGAGCTGCAGGTGACGGCTTGCTGCTGTTGTTACATATATATCTAGTCTGCGTTCGTGCAAGGATGCGACATGATGCAACCGCTTGGTAATAGTTTACCTGCTTTGCATGCACGCTTATTCCTGACGTGTTTGTTTCCAGCCGTCAGATTTAGCTTTTGAGAAAGACGTTGTAAAGTTGCTTTTGAACCTGTAAACATAATTTTTGTGTTTCTTCTTTCGTTTAACCTCAGTGTCGAAGCAACAAGATGGAGGCATGTATAAGTCGCCGGCGTATCCCGGGTATCCGTTCCTGATGCTGCCGGACCCTTACCTCCCCAACAGCTCGGTTTCTCCATCTGTAAGTCGGCTCGTCCTGTTCTTAACCCTCCTGCTGCCTGCTGGGCTCTGATTTTTCTCCTCATTGTGTGTTTTGTCAACCTGAGGCCGTATTTATACCCGGCCTTTCAATCCAGGGCAAGTTTTTAAAATCAGATCTTCAGGATTCGCTTTGAATGCTAAAGAAATGACATGGCCGTCTTCTTGTTTTTGGTATTTTCTGTTTCTTTTTGCTCAAAAAAGCCAAAATCTGTTTGTCTTTATAACTTTTAATGCATGTTATGAAAAACAGTCTGTAATTATTGCAGAAAACTCTGCTGTGACTGTTGCCAATCAATATTTCTGGAACATTTTGAACTTTAATTTGAATTTTGAAAGACTCTTTATGTGTTTTGACTACATACACTGCAAAAACACAAATTCTTACCAAGTAATTTTGATATGGTTTCTGGAACAAATATCTTATTACACTTGAAATAAAAGGAAACTAACTTATAATTAACTTTTCAGCAAGAAATAAGTAAGTAATTCCTTAATATTGGCAGATTATTTCAGTTACAACAATGGAAAAATGCTTTATTAGTGAAATAATTACTTTTTCATCAATATTAATGAATTATTTACTTCTATATCTTGGTGAAAAGTTACTTGTAAGTTAATTTTGTCGTACTTCAAGTGTACTAAGATATTTGCACTAAACTAAACAAAATCTACATGGTAAGATTTTGTGTTTTTGCAGTGTAATGGACAAAATAAAATAAATTGAGGCTTATTGGGTTCAGAGGAGGCGGCTGTCGCCTCACCGTGAAATAACAAAATAAAAGGTTTTTATTGTTATTTTGGTGAACTCTGCTGACAGTCGGAGTGTGATTGCTGCTGTTGCTGTGAGGTTTTTCCATCTACACACGCACACACACACACACACACACACACACACACACACACACACACACACACACTCAGGAGCGTGAGTGATAAGAAGGTTTTGTCGCGGCCCTAATATCAGCTGAGCTTCAGACGCAGATCTGAGACGTTTTTCGCATCATTTCTCATTTGTAAGAATTTATATTTGTTGTTGTCAGTAAATTCCAGTTAATGTTGTTTAAACTGTTGTTGGATTGTTAGTTTTACTGCCAATAAATCTGTAAATATGATTAACTGGAGCGACTGTGTGCAGTTTAGTGATAAAAATCACATTTCTTTATGAGCAGTAGTGTCTTTTTTAAGACCAGGACCTGAAAACAGTAATAAATATTTTTAATTGTTGCTTTTATTGTTGTCACAAACGCATGTTGTGACAAAACTTGTGAAGAAAAGAGTTTTTCCGTTTCTTCACTGTCTGTAACTCACTTGTTTTGTATTTAAATGGCATTTTTTTTAATCTCCCTTTTATTTATTATTATTATTATTTAAAATCATCTGGAAGCTTTCTGGTAAAACAAGGTGATTTATTTATTAGTTTTTCTTTTACGTGGAAATAAAACTTCCCAGAAATGAGTCTAAGTGATTATAGGTTTTATCCATGATCACTGTGAACTGAATCACTGCAAAAACACAAAATGTTACCAAGTATTTTTTTAGTTTCTAGAAGAATTATCTTATTACACTTGAAATAAGATAAAACTAACTTATAAGTAACTTTTCAGTAAGATATAAGAGCTTGTTTTTAGTAAATTATCCCTTAATGTCGAGGGAAAAGGAGATTATTTAATTTCCCCATGTTGTAAGTGAAATAATCTGATTTCCCATCAATATTTACCTAAAACAAGCCAATATATCTTGTTGACAAGTTATTTGTAAGTTAGTTTTGTCTTATTTTAAGTGCAATAAGATATTTGCTCTAGAAACTAAACAGAATTATGTGGGTAGATTTATTGTTTATGCAGTGAAGCGTCCTTGTCCCTCATTTTTAAAAAGTTTTTTTGTTGCCGTTGCTTTAAGCTGCTCATCCGGCAACATGGCGTCTGATGAAAACGCTTCAGAAAGATGGAGGCAGGGCTGAAATAAAGAGCACTTCCCTTCTCTCTTTCTCTTTCTGTCCTTCTTTTTCTTTCTGGCGTTCGCTGAACTCTTCGTCTCTCTGCATCCTCCCTCTTTCTTTCTTTCTCTATTTTTTTCTCTCCTCTTGTTGCTGCCTCCATATATTTAGGGCGTCGTTTTGGGGCGCCTCTACCTGCCAGCTGAAAGTGGGTGATGAAAGTGTCATGGCGGCTGAAAGTGTCATGGCGGCTGAAAGTGTCATGGCGGCTGAAAGTGTCATGGCGGCTGAAAGTGTCATGGCGGCTGAAAGTGTCATGGCGGCTGATGGTTGTTGGTTTGATGCGACGAATCTGGGGAACCGACGGGGAAATCACAGGTTGTTTTTGTTTCAGCGAGAGAAGGTGACACGTTTCTGACGGAGTCAGTCCGTTTGCTGGGCGGCAGAACCAGAACCAGATCAGAGCCAGAACCAGAACCAGAACCAGATCAGAACCAGATCGGAACCAGACCAGAACCAGATCAGAACCAGATCGGAACCAGAACCTGTCTTCTTTATCAGCTTGAACTCTTGTTCTTCTTTTTCTAGTTCGTCTTTTATTTGGTCAAGTTGTGGAAAATTGGCTGCATTTGTTCAGGAAGCAGGAAATTATTTCAAGTTTCTCTTTATTCTCTCTATCGCAGCAGAATCATTTTTCAAAAACGCAAAAATGACTCATTTCTGTCAACGTCATGAAATGATTATCAGGGATTCACCGATTGCAGTTTTCTGTCCGATTATCAATCTTTAAAAATCCTGATCTTCCGATTCTGATTTTTACCAATATTGTTTTACTTTTTTGTCTAAAATGTTGCTAAATCGATCAGGAAAGTCACTGAGTTTAAACAGTGCAAGCAGAAATGTTTACAAAAGCAAAAAATCATAAAAAATATTAATTTCTATCAGTGTAATGTGATTATCTAATGGGTTTTTGTTTGTTTCTATTCAGTGTGGAAGAGTTTGGTTAAAATAAAAGTCTTTGGTCGATAATTAAGACCTTTATTGGCTGCAGCTCTCTTTTTATTTGAGTTTAATCATCCAGCCATCAGTTACCAGCAGCATATCGACAGAAGAAAACCTGAATCTGAAAACCTGTTTCTGAAAACCTGAGTGTGTTCCTGTAAAAGTGTAAAACTGCTGAGCTCATTGCGAGAGCATCAGCTGAACGACAGAAAGTTCAGCATTAAGTTTATTAGTTGTCTCTGTGATTCCCCTCGGCGCAGCATGTGGGCTTGTTTTCACTGTAAAAACTCCAGTCCAGTTGTTTAAATCTGGGGGTTTTTTTGAGGGGGGCTTTTTGGAGAAAATGAATATAAAATAATTCAATTGGTTCAGTTATTAATCTAAAAATGTAACTAATTTTCTGTTTAGACAGAAAAGCATTTTCCTATTGCAAAAGGCAGAGTTGGGCAGTAACTAGTTACATTTACTCAGTTAGATTTGCCTGAGTAACTTTTTTAGGAGCATTGTACTTTTGAGTAATTTTATTCTGAAGTATTTCTGCTCTTACTTGAGTAAAATTTCTGGATTTTCTACCCACTGAATGAAAAACAGACATGTTTTAACCAGAAATCCACCAGACTCACACCTGCAGTTTTTGCAAAAGTTTCAGAAGTTTATTGAAATAAACTAATTTTAGAAAATTTATTTTGTCATTTTGGTCCTTAAAATACCAAAATTTCCACTTAACTTTATATTTTGCTCTGTTTGAAATGACTGATAAACTGATCAGTCACTCAGACTTTTTACCACATACTTTTATTGGGCGGCTGCGGTTAGTTTTTGAATAAAAACACGTTGAAGTATTTCTGCTCTGGGTTCTCTGCCTCCTCTGGACGTTTTGCTGTTGTCACATTTATGGAGATATGGGAGGAAATGCTCAGAGAAGATTTGTGGGATTAGCAGATTAGCTTGTTGCCTTTGTGTGGAGCTTTTATCTGGATTGTGTTTTGTGTTTTCATGGCTGCTGCTGAACTTCATTACACCGAGTTGCATCTCAGCGTTCGGCATGTTTGTTGTGTTCATCTGCAAGCCTTAGGCTGCTGTTTGTATCCAGAGTTCATGGTGTGTTTTCTGAGCTAATGTTTGCTCTCTCCCTATGTGTGTGTGTGTGTGTGTGTGTGTGTGTGTTTTGCAGTGTTTGTGCATAACATTGTGGATTAAACGCAGACAGTTTTCTTTTTAAAGGGAGTCAAACCAAAGCAGAGAAAAGATTTCCTGTAGACATAAAAGTAGTTTTTTCTTCCTTCAGATCCATGTTTGCTTTGTGTCGTTTTCACCTTTTCTACCTCTGTTCTCGTCTCTGACGTCTTCGCCATCAGTTCGCCGTTCTTTCGTCATCCTCTCGTCCTTTGAGATAACCTTCAGGCATCTGGGAACTAAAAGGAGAAATGACAAAAGCTCAGAAATGTTTGATTTTCAGGTGACTGTCTGCTTTTTTACTTTCCTGATCTGTAGTGATCAGACGTTATAGATGATTGGATTGAAATTGGAACATCATGAGGAACAAAGAGGAAGATATTTGTGTTTATGCAGATGATTAAGTGTTGCACTTTTCCAAAATTATTCTCTTACTGGTATCATGTAAAGTTTTAAAGGCATTACATGTTTCTGCTTGTTTTTGGTTCATATAAAGGCAGCTATATCTTCTTTTAGACCAATTTAATGAGTGAAGCTGCATTTCTTACAAAATTAACTCTTGAAAAACCTTTAAAAGCAAAACTTTCTATAAAACTCAGTACAAAAAGTAGATATAAAGAGAGAAAATGAGAAATAAAGCAGATGGATGTTTAAAAAGACAAAGCACTGCAAATGTTTTCTTTAGATGCTTTTTTTTAGATTCATATTAAATAAATATCTTTGTACATATGCAGATGACTGCATTGTTTTTGTCCAAAATCAGCAGTTTGCATTGATCGATTGCGTAATAGAAATGGTTTACGTTTGTGGGCTGGTTGCCACCAAACCACTTCATTATTTCAGACAAATTGCTCTAAAAGCAGCAACTGAACTGATTAAATAAAACTGAACCTTATACAACATGATGCCAGAAACAT